CACCCATATGCAGGCACAAATATGCACACACACATACACACACGCTCTCCTGCAAACACACTCACACATATGCAAAATAGCTGCAGCGCCCAGTAATTACAGAAGATGGGAGCCATTAACTAGTTGTAATATAGCATCTCCATCCTATTGCTGCCGTCTTTGTTTCCATCCTGGGGACCAAACTATTCCCACATCAACAGGGATAGCGAGTTCATACAATTAAATAAAATAGTAAACAAACAGTGAGAGTCAAGTCCAAGAGGCGTGTACTGAGTCACGTCCAAGATCTTTCAGCAGATGATTTTTTTTTTCACATGCGCAAATCATCTGAGTATGTAATAAAAAGCAAAAATGGCTTGAGTCAGTTTTGATCATAGACTGATTATTCACACTCAGTATGATATGTAATTGTAACAGTCTTTCCTGATTTCACTTCGTAAACATTAAATTTCACATGGACAGCTTCCTTTGACAACTCATTACGTGGACCAAAAAGTAAAATAAATTAGTAAATGATAATAATAATAAAATAAATTTCGATCAAAATCATAACAAACGATTGACAATGTTGAGATGCAGTGCCTGAAGGAATCGCTTCTCGTTATCAATCTTTCCAAATCCAATCATGTTGTCATCACATTGTTGCATAATCCAGTTTACTGAAAGATGATGCTGTGCCTCCTTCTACTTTGTTTTAAGGCTGGGAATCTAGTTGTATTATTATTACTATGGGTTATTTTATACTGGTGCCAGTGTAAATTTTAAAAAAAAAATTACATGTTGGTTGTTCTTAAACTGAGGAAGGTGTATGTGGCATGCTGTGTCCGTCATGATGCAGATGGCTGAACAAACTGAGTCTTGTATGCAGAACCAGCTTTCATATTACTCACTCTGTGTGCATGTGTGTGTGTGTGTGCACAACTGCTAGATGCACTGTCTTTGTTTCATGTCTGGCCCTGCAGGGGACCCTCACAATGCTCCCTCTGTCCCTGCGACGCCTCATCTGTCTTCAATTTCTGACAGTCGTCTGGAATCGTTGAAACATTAACCAAGATGCTCATTTTAAAAAAATATATTAAAAAACAAAACAAAATTTTAAAAACCCCACAAATTTTTATCTATATTTTTATTCAGATTCATGATAGACTTGGGTATGCCAAGCAAGTTGGACCTAGCCCAATCACATAAGTGTTCTTAGTGCTTAAATCACGAGGTCAGAGTGGGATATGCACTGTAAGTCACAGCCTGCCAGTTAGCGTAAATTAAAGAGGCAGGCACACGTCTGAAAACCTGATAGACAGAGGCAGATGGAGAAAGACCCGCAGCTGGGCACAGTACCTCTTCTTGCCAGGTCCTTGGCAGTTTCTTTGCCTATACCAGTGTTGGCTCCAGTGATGACCACTGTTTTCCCATCTAACCTCTCCTCAGAAGACCAGTGGTTACAGCACACACCCCTGAACAAGAGGCAAGTAAAAGCATTGATTATATATTTTTCCTTAAAGTTTTAAAGACCTGATCTTTATTTGGACACAAAAGAGTCTATAAATCAGCACATGCTCTCATACTAACTATTCAACATCAGACTTACACATACTGCATCTGTAACAGAGTATATTACATCAGTTGGTTTCCAGAATAATTGCGCAAGTCGTCTAAACAGATTCATGCTCAAAGCTCTTTTTTCCGTTTTCAAAATTTGCATAAAAACACCAATAAAACCACGACGCAAATCACTCTGCAAAATCTGGTGACACAGTGGATAATCTTCAAATATCTCACACTGCTGGTATTATTAGAGCCAGCTACCTAACCTTTAACGTTTTCTGCAGGCTCTATTTTATGTATTTTTCTCCTACCTGCAGTACATTCTTCCTCAAAGAGCAACAGGTTTCCACCTTAGGACCTCTGCGACAATACAGCTCCTTTCTCCGCCACAACACTTTATCAGCGGGTTCCGTGCTTTTCATCTGTCAGCCACCTCTCCTCGTTTTCTTTTGCGTATAGGTGCCGGGGCCAATCAGGGGCGGGCTGACGCATAATTGATTCACAAGTTACAGGCTGTGGGAGCAGCCGGCTCTCCTGCCGCCTCCTGCTGTCGGAGAGACTCGAGTTATGGGGTTAGCTGAGGCGAGAGTGTGATAATTCACCACTGCGGTGTGTGATACCACCGAGAACGTGGAAAACCCAAAGTTAAAACGTGCCTCACTTCACTATGTAGCAACATGCCAGAGCTAAAATCCTAATGATGTAAGAGTCTAATAAAAATGGGAAGTCTGTTTTTTTTTCACTCACAAACGGACACACAAGGACACACAATGCTATATCAGGGATGTTTCTTTATTGGAAGCTGTTACATTTGTCTTAGCCTTCAGATCAAAGGTGAAGTTTATCTCCAGCGGATGCCCAACAGGTGGCAGCTCACAGCCCACAGCTTCAGGGCTGTGCCGTCATCCTGGCCGGCATTGGAGCTCTCTGCTCTGGAGCAGTTTCTGTGGGGAAAGGAGTGAATGGACAATACATAAGCACATCGTTTAAGTGAGCTATACATTTCCATCGCTGTAACATAAAGTGCACTAAAACATGTGATAATTAAAATGTAACCAGCTGATAGTTAGAAGATAGTAGATAAAATAGAGACACAATTGGATAACTGTAAGGTAATATTTGGTGCATTACTACGTGTAAATTAATCAAACTCCACACTTTCTTCATTGATCATTACATTTCTAATTTATTCTTTTTCGTTACTTCAGGTAGTTACTCATTGCTTCAGGGCTGCATGACCATCAACAGACTCGGTTTAAAATGAATCAAATGTGAGTTATAGCCATGGGTGGAGATACAGTATTTTCCGGTCGTGCTGAGCGATTTGGAGACTGAAAAACAGATAACGCTGTTCTTTCTAAGAAAGGTGCATATTATAAAATATTTATTATCTAACGAATCACTTATACAGAATGACTCATAGATCTTTAGTAATTACCCATTAATTAGTGTATTAAGAATTATTCGGATGATATCGATGAATGGCTCCTCTCGTCTTTCATGATTCTTTAATCACACCTGTTTTATAGCGATTAAGCAAGTTTTTGTCTGTAATTGTAAATAGTTTTCACGCTGACCTGTAGTATCCTCCAGTGACCAGCTGATTCTCAGGAGTGACGGTACAGTAGATGGTGGTGTAGGCTCCCTCTGCTGGGGTCCTGATCAGAAACCCGAAGTTCTTGACTACATCCAGAAGAGGGCGCCTTATATACCTTAAAATGTCAGTGTTCACGAAGCCGGGGTCAACTGAGTAGGCTGTGATACCTAGAACTGGAGGGATTGGTATAAATATTATTTATCCAACCTGAAATGAAGCAGATCCTTGATAACAGCTTGTAGTCACACATGAGTGGACACATCAGTAAAGTAAAACACCCAGAATATATAGTTTCACTTGATTTAGAAAAAAAAAGTTACAGAAAGCCTTGACTCATATCTGGGAAGAAATGACAGCATTATTAGTGAATGAGGAGTGATTTGCTGGGCAACAATTAAGTCTTTAACACAACTTATTTCCCTGTGCTCTGATGTCGCCCAGAGCGGTTGTGGTTGAGGCATGGGACTCTCACACTGTTGAGATAAGATCCGCTTTCTCCTTGCATAAGGAAGGCGAGGTAGACAGGCAAAAGACGACACATAATGACTAGATAATATTTCAGTCTCTGCGTCCCTACCCTCTGTCCTTTTGGCCAGCTCTCTGGTGAACAGGACATTAGCCAGCTTGCTCTGTGCGTAGGCCCTGAAGTGATGGTAATCCTTCTCCCCTTTCAGATCATCAAAATGGATCTTGCCAAAGAGGTGAGCTGCTGATGACAGGTTGATGACCCGAGATGGGGCCGAGTGCTTCAGCAAGTCCAGCAGCAGAAAAGTCAAGAAGAAATGACCTAAATGGGTGGTAGGAGAGAAAAGGCGAGGAGTTTTAAGCCACCACTGATCACATATTTAGCAGTAACAACAGGAGCTGACTGACAACTCATCTGCTCTTTTGCTAAAGTCTGTTTCAATCTAACATGTTTGTCATTAACTAAACCTTGTGTGTTTTTTCCTCCTACCCAAGTGATTGACTCCAAACTGCATCTCAATTCCATCCACTGTCCTGGCAAAAGGACACACAGCCACGCCTGCATTGTTGATCAGATAGTGAAGAGCTTTCTCAGCTGTGAAAACAGGATAATTGTTACCACCATCACAGTATTTAGAAGGAAAAAAGAATGCACGCACTACTCTGAAGTCCGCGTGTGTGTTGCGTGTGCCACCCACTGTTGTAGATATTCTCAGCAAACTGGCATATTGATTTGGTGTCAGCCAGATCCAGTTGCCTGGTGACTACCTTCGCTCCCTTCACCTCCCTCATGACGTCGCAAGCAGCTTGCTCTCCCTTCGCCATGTCTCTGCACGCCAAGATCACCCGGGCGCCTACAGGAGATTAATTCCTCTTGTTTGCGTGTACATGCATGTTTGACATTTGAACAAGATAGCACGATTTCAACACATATGTCTGGGCCAGTTTGGCAGTCTTTGTGTCGTGGCAGTATGCTCTGAACTTAATCCCTCTGCCTGCCTTTGATTAACCAGTAACGATACATGAGTTCATTAGAATTATGCGCTATCATCAAATTCGACAGTTTATGTTTGAGTAACCTGATTGTATTTATTATATTTGCGGGAACAGGAAGCTTCAAGTGCACAAGTTCACAAGTACACTGAGTCACGCAGACGAGAAAGAATATGACAACAATTGTAAAGAAATTTGTTACTCATCATTGCATTTGCTGTCTTTACATGTGCAGCGCTGTTTTCTTGCCTCTGCTAGCCAGGTCTTTAACTGTCTCTTTTCCTATTCCAGCGTTGCCCCCCGTCACTATAGCTGTCTTCCCATCTAGACGTGTATCTGAAGACCATGTGGGGATGAAGAGAGACCTGTGGAGTGAGACACCTTTATCTCAGATGGATGAATGAAAAGCTACCGTCAGACTTTTCCCCCTTTCTGGTGATGATGTACAAAAACTTACCTGATTGCTTGCATTTCCAAAGTAAAATAAAACTGTGATATCCCTACTCAAAAATTGTTTTCGCTGATGTTGAAAAGTCCCAGAGATGTGGAGGCACAGGACTGAGAGAGAAAGCAAACATGACTGCCTTTTAAATGGTAAGCTGTTGTCAGACAGAAATACCCCTCTGTTGGAACTCATCACTGGTGCTAATCAATTAAGGCGGAATTTCAAGATAAGCGTCATATGATTGGTGATGCAGTATTTTAAAGAATCAAAGAAACAGAGAAGTATTTGTTTAAGAGGTTTCAGCTCAATAATGCGTACCAAACTAAGTATTTGAAATGACTCAGCAAACTAGATTTAAGACACTGAATCTTTATTTACTGTAAAAGGAAAGTAAACCCTTTTCAATTCTAAGGCTTTATAAATCAGGGATCAATAAAAATCCCTGGTCCTTAATATAAGGCTGTTTAACGAGAACTAGCACTATCCCCTCACAGCAGCAACATCCGGGGTTCGAATCCAGGCAGGACTCAGTGGAGTTTGCATTCACCATCCAAAGACAAGAATGGGGTTAGTTTAATTGGTGATTCTAAACTGGCCGTAGGTGAGACTGTGAGTGTGAACGGTTTTCCGCCTCTCTCTGTGTTATCCCTGTGACAGACACAGAAAAAAAAGACTCATCACAACCCCATGCCGAGGTCCTGTGGGTGCAAAACAAGGCCAAATAATCGCTCCTCCACCACCATGCGTAACACTTGGTATGAGGCATTTGTGCTGATATGCTGTGTTTGGTTTTCAAGAAATGTGGCATTGTGGATTAAGACCAAACACTCTACTTTGGTTTCATCTGGTCAAAGGACGTTGCTTCAGAAGTTTGTGGTTTGTTCAGATGCAGCCGTGCCAACCTAAGCTGTTCTGCTTTGTTCATTTTAGAGAAAAGAGCGTTTGTCCTGCAACCCTTCCAAAAAAGTCATACTTTCCTTTTGAACAATAATGGCCCGATCTGAGTGCGTTTGCTCTCAGCAAGATTGGCAACTGTCTAGAATGTTTTGCAGTTGCCAATCTAGCTCACGGTGCTCAGTGATGGCCTTATAACCCTTTCCAGACTGATAGACAGCCTCTTTTAATCATTCGTAATATCTTTCCGCTATGGCATTGTGCTTCCACACAAACAAACAGCCAAAAGCCCTGCTTTTAGAGTTGCTCGCACTGACTGTGTGATGCTGATGTATTAATTACAAGCACTTGATCAGCATCACCTGGCTGCTACTTACACTCTTAATTCCTATGGAAGCATTAAAAGGGTGTGTTTAGCGTTTCACACACTATTTCTGCATTTTGCCTTAGTTTTCGTTGACACAGCGTATGCTCATATTTGTAGTTCTTCGCGGTTGTATTTGTCTGATTTTTTCACATGACTGTATGTAGCTGTATTTACCTTTTCTCTGAAAATTTTCTTCCTTTTCTGCATTAGAATTATTATTATTAGTCTATTATTAATGTGTCGTAGATGTAACAAAATCACAAGAGCAAATTTTTCAATTAAATTTGTAAGACACTCATTAAAAAGATTCTTATGTATAAAAATGTGAAAGTTCCACACAGTTTCATTCATTCATTATGTATTTATCAGCTAACATCTGCTGCTTCCATTCAAAGCAGTTCATCATATTTACATCCTCTCAAAAGCAAAATCATTATCTTTGAAGAAACTAGAAACTCCATCTGCTGTCAGTGCTGAGTAACGAATCTCAGCTGTAATGATCTTTTGCGAGTCTGCAGCTGGAATCCAAAACTTGCTTCCACAGGTGAGATGACTGTAATTTCAGCACATCAGCACTGTGGATTTTCTGGTGCTTTCCGCAGGTCTGCGCTGTCACCTGGTTACACCGACTGTCAGGTTATTAAACCAACAGCTGATTGGGCTTTTTCTCATGCCTCGAAAGTGCTCCAGTATGAAAGACAAACCCTTTCTCAAGAGCCCATTTCCTCTTTTCCAGTGATCTCGATTCCTCTTTTAAAATTGCAATCAAATAAATAAGGTGGTACACAATAATATGTCTGTATGTCTGTTTAGAAATGCCTATACAAATGCAACAAACAGATGCATCTCGTTTCTTGTGTTGCTGAAACTGTAAACATGAACATTTATCCATGATTTGTTGTCTTGTTTATCATCTTAACCTGCACTTACCACTAGGAGGCACACTATAGCAACACAAGGTGGTTGCTACCCTACATATAAGTCAAATGAAAGGCTGTTCTCTCACACATGAAAAGAAAAGAAAAAGCTGAAATCATTTAAATGTGCAGTCGGGCTCTGTGTTGGCCAGCCAGCCAGTTCTCATGTAAACCATGTGAAAGCTAGTCATAACTTCCTGTTTTCACAAACAACCATAAAATAAGCTGAGACAAGACGCACTCTTACACACATGCACACACACATATAAACATACTCCTGCTGACCCAAACCAGGCCCAAATGAGTGCTGCCAGTTCCTCTCATGTGGTCTCTCTGTGACGCTAGCTGGTCTGACTGCTAGATTAGTTTCTCCTCACAGCTGCTTGCCATCCCGGGGCTGATGAAAGGCTGCCTGTCTGTCAACACAGGGACAAAGGCACAGAGGCCTTGCCACATGTGTAATTAGCATTGCTTCACAAAGATTATAGATCATCTTGTGGAGATAAATGAAGCCTTGGTTGTGTTTTGTCAATCTCCCCCCCCCCTAAAATAGGAAAGTTGACCAAGAGTAACCACAGAATGCAGGATGGCAGCCATCCGTGAAAAAAATTAGATGCAAAACATTTAATTTCGATCAAAATAGTCTTTCAGTAATTCATTGCAATAGATTTGATTTATATGTACATTTTTTGTTTGTTTGTTTTTTGCATAGCTGCATACATATGGCAGGGCTATAAATTAACAGTTCATTGAAACTCCTGTGTGCGCTTCGCTGTTAATGGCACCACTCGACTTCACAAAATCCACACAATAAATCAATTGACAGCATATTCATTCGTCTTTGAGAAACAGATGAAATATATACACACACTGATCACATCTGAAACTTCTGAAATACACACAAACAATCTGCCTCGTAAAATCTTTCTTTTTTTTCCTTTTTTTTTTTTTTAAACAAAACCATTATTATTAACAAGCATCGGAAGGCCTGGGCATTAAAATCGAATAAAAGAAATCACTAATAGAATAGCTTATCAAATGCATAGCATTTTGTTTCGAAGACAAAAACTGCACTTGTGTTGCAGTAGGGAGAAAATAAAGTCTACAAACAAGCATCGTACCAAGACTGGACGTGTCTCTTAAAAAATAAACAGATCCTGCAGGCAAGAAAGAAGAATTCACTCATTGATATGTTTAAAATTCTGTCCAGCCAGATCTTATTGTGGCTTGCATATTCAAAGTTCTATGATACAACAACTAAAACGCATGTTCCACACGGTGGATATTCCGTTACGCAAGTATCAAAATCATCCAGACTTACAAAAGTTAAAAACTAAGAGCTTACAGATGTTACCTAAAGCAAGTAATCAATAGAAATGTGTGGGACATTAAATATTTTGTAACTTCTTTGTATCGAGACCAAGCTGTAAGTTCAATGCAACGATAAAAATATTATGCACCTGCAGTATGAACTCTACTTCCACATCCATTTCACAACAAAATTCCCCATCACTGTCTGGAATGGAGGGAGTTTCCATCTGAAAAGGCCAGCAGCTTTTCTTCTTTTTTTTTCTGGGAATAGATTCCCGTGGCAAGATTCAGTGACTAATGTCTGAAATAGGCCAGGTTATAGATGGTTCATTAGTAAGACAACTGTGGAGACACAGAGTCAGATTCCCAAAAGACTGATCTCCCAGTTATCTGACTGATCACTTTAAAATGACTTTACACCATCCTTTCCTTGTTTTTATCTGGAAAACAGACATGACAAGACACATTTGTTCTTCATTATTACTATAACTTATTTGATGTACACCTCTTAGCCATAACACTAAACCCACCATTCTGCCAAAAATAAAAAACCAAAAAAAAAAAAAACCCCTCTGCTGTGCATGCACATGAGCCCACTGAGGGTGTCCTGTGGTGTCTGGCCAGTGGGTCCTTTGGGTCCTGTGCGCCTCTGCAGATCAGGCTTGTTCTTGCTAACTCAGCAGATGTTTGATTGGACTGCCATGTGTTATGCCAAGTTGTCGAGCAGTTTTTTTGTTGTGACAGGACACTCTGTCCCGTTGGAGAGAATTCTGTTGTCAGGGGATGCCGTTGCCATGGAGGGATGTGACTGATCTTTAACGATGTTTAGGTGGGTGGTATGAGTCAATGGAAGAGGACCCAAGATTTCCCAGCAGAACATTGCATTGTAACAATATAATCAACATGATTCATTTCAGCTGACAGCAGTTTTAATGTTGTGGCTGATTGGTGTAATCAAAAGATAACATAGGCACCCAGACTATGGCGATGATCTCTGAAGTGACATAAAACAAAGCAAAGCCACCGTCCGCTTTTCACTTTCCCAGTGATTGCTCCTCCATCGCTTCCTGGACTGGCAGTGTTTCATCTTGCAAAGTACAGTGGGAAATGTAGTCCCCTTGTGATCTCAAGCTGGTCTGAAAAAACGGAGCAGTCTCAGTGGCTTCTTCCTGGACAGGGTTGCCGAAGCCATCATCCCGCTCCACCTCGTCGCTGCCGTGAGACGTCTGGCTGACGCAGACAACAATGACGTCACCGCTAAAGTTCATCACTTGACCGCTGGAGATGAAGGTGGTGTTGTGGTTCCCAGACACCTGACCTAAATAGAAAAGTAACACAGAGGAGGCGTAAATGGTTAGGAGGCTATTTATAGACGATGTCTGAGAAAATCTTTCGTTTCACGTGAAAATCATAAACACTGTATCCCCAGACTGGTGTAGAAAATGCCGATGCAATAACAGCCTATTGTGAAATTCAACGAGATGTGTTGCTATAATTGTAGGGTTGTGTAGGACTTTCATTTTTCCTGTACAAACAGGCTTCCAGAGCCCTATTTCATGACACAAGTGAAGAAGGGACTAACTGTTGGCTAACCTCATGTGACAAATGGACAGTGGGTGTAATGACTTTGCAGGATGACCACAAAAAGGCAACGGCTACAGAGACCGCCATATCATATCCTTCTCGACATAGCTCCGTCAGTATCCAGCACTTCTAACTAAGTGAAACTCAAGACCACTAAAGGGAAGCAATTTGTCACAGGTTTTGGGGTTTTAAGGATTCAACTGAACAATTTCTTTTTAAATGTGCTGCTCCATCCACGAACATCTCAGTGTCTAATCTCCATCCTACAGTTGCTTTCCTGCCAAACACAAACTTGTATCAATACCCTTTGTGCCAGTGCCTGTATATTGTTCACCTACAGAGTTAAACCAGCAGGTGAATTAGGAAATAAATAGTTTTGTTTTGTAAATCGCATTACACCGCATCAAACCTCTGGTTCCTATTTTCTCCAGCCTCCTGTCTGACTTTCCAGGCGACAGAGGAGGCCAAACCTCCATGACTCACAGCTTATGTTCCATCTGTTCACACATATGCACACGCACACACATACAGTAAATGTAAGAAAATGCACTAACAGGCATTTTCACACCTACACATACACATATGCGCTCAAAAGCACATGCAGCCAAAGGCAAACGCTACCACAGACTCTCAAAATGTGTGTGTCTCTGTTTCAGTATCCAATCGCATTTCCCGGAATACCAGTCTGAGAGGGCAAGCTTGAAAATATGCCATTTCACCACAGCTCTGAAAACAATGCTCTGAGGAATCTGCTTGGGTCTTCTGTTTATCCTCTCTCAGTACCACGTTGATCTTTTTGGATACCCAAAAACTGTGCTGACAGGGGTAAAACTGACTTGTGCATATTCTCTATCAGAATCTGCCAATTTTTCATGGATAGGTGTCAGCTTAAGTCTTTGATTGTCAGACTAAATGTGGGTCATTAGCCCTATTGAGCTGACGCTCAACAAAGGCAGCCCCAAAATTGCCCTGAGCCGGTCAGTAGCTAATAAATAAAACTAATGTGCACTGGGACGGCTACTGTGGGTGAGACAAGGGAAACCTCTGAACCTTGCCTAACCTTTAAATAGTATAGGCGGGAAGCCCTTGTGACAATTTTCATTACTGCATGATGGGAAACTGTGTTCACTTCAAGCCAGCAGATGTGTAATTAAAGTAACCAGTCATCAGTGAGAGTCAAAAAAAAAAAAAAAAAAAAAAGGCTTCACAAGTTGGTGTGTGTGAGTGTTTTTGTTGGGTTTGCGAGGTTATAAAAGCATTACTCAAGCTGAGCACATCTTGGTTCAATTAAAGCTGCGGTCACTTTGCGCAACCCTATGGAACTCTGGGTAAACAGGAGTTTTGTACTGTAGATGGCATACTCGACACTGGTGCACACATACACAAAGAGCAGTGTTTGTTAAGAGTGCGGTTCTGGTGGCTCACTAGCACATCACACACACACACACACATATCTTTTTCCTGCTCCCTGTGTGGCCCCGCCAAAATCCAGGCTCAGATTATCAATACTGGCTTTAATAAAAGCTATTTCTTGGAAACAATCACACAAACGCCATATTTTTACGCTGAGACCAATCCGCTGTCTATTCTGTGTTCGGCTAATAACGTTTGAGCTCGAGCTGACCACCGTCTCTATCAGACTGCTCAGATATTACTGCTTTTATAACTAACCATAACCACTAGGAGCTCGAGGCACAGAGAAGAAATGTTTCCCGTAGATTTTTCTCTTTGGCACAACCATAAGGTCTGTGTGAGAACAATGCATGCTCAACCCCGTGACTGTAAAACTTTCCATTAAAACCAATCTAAATTTCATTCTGTTATTCTTGGTGGCTAGTCCCACCTATGCTGTGGAAAGAGAACACTGCTATGTGGTGTATCCAATCATGTATGGGTATGACCCTGTGGCAACACAATGGCGACTGCCTACACAAACAGCGAACACAGAAATCCACCTGGCAAACACAACTGTGGTCCTGCAAACTTTGTAATGAGCCATTATCCCCATAACGCACAACCACTGTGTTTTTAGTTTTTATTGACGCTGCTGAGCGGTCACAGCAAAAAAATAGCCAGGAAATAGCCAGCTCCAAATCAGCTTTTCATTACCCCAAGAGGAGTAAAAATAGATTTGTGACTGTGCGACTCAACTGCTTGGGGGAAAAAAGTATATAATATAATATAATATAATATAATATAATATAATATAATATAATATAATAGACAAAAGTGTACATTAATTTTAAAAGCCATAATTCTGTCCTGTCAACACTTGATGATTACTATTAAGTTACTATTATTACTTAATATTTTACCTCCCCCACTAGTTTGGAGCTAGTACCTTATCACTTCTTTTTTTCCTTATCATTAACTTTTTTGGGGGGGGCTTCTCATATGATCAGTTTTTGAAATTTCATGTACCTGAGGTAAGATTTGGATCAGCCAGCTGACTCTGAAGGCTCTCCGGTGAGCACTCCAATTCTGACTCCTGTGATGAGAGCTTGTTGTCTCTGCTGTCCCCACAGGGAACTCCCTGGTCTTGCTCTGGGGCTGTGGCCTCAGGGGGCTTGTCCATGTAGAGCTCTCCAACAGATGGGGATGGCAACAAGGGGGTGACCGAGGTCATCGCAGAGGTCGTGCTGTGTTCTGTTGATGTGGAGTCTGTGCTCATCAGTCTGTACAACCCCTCCCATTTTGTTGGCGATCTCTCTTTCAGGTGAAATTTGAACTCCGGCGACATCTGGGACAATGGCAGGTAGAGTTCAGGAAGCGGACTGGTTGACTGGACGGCGGTGGAGGTGTGGAGGAGAGGAGGAGAAAGAGAAACAAGCGGTGCGACACCTGACTGACTCGTGGACACTTTCTTGAGATTTCCATCTTTAGCCTCTTTCCCACTTCCACCTCCATCCCTCTCTCCATCTAGCCCTCCGCATGAACACGATCCCGGTGTTCCAGGGCTGACAGCCTGGCTACAGTCCTCATTCTCCCCTACTTCCAGGGGCTCGTGGACAGGAATGACACACATGCAAGAACCTGTCAAAAGCCGGGACACGCTCACGACCTCTTCTTCTTCCGATACCTCTTCTGGTTCTCCAGATCTTTTGCTCTGATCCTCCATTGGTGTTTTCCTCTCAGTCCCTCCTTCCTCTGTCATCTCTTTTATGAAGGGCAGAGAGACCTTTACATCAGGAACAGAGATGGGCAAGGTGCACGAGGGGTTGTCAGCGGGGCTGGAGGGTGCTTGGTCGATAAGTTTGGTCACCTCACATGGCGTGCATTTTGAGGCACCAGAACCACCTCCTATTCCTCCTCCTGCTCCGCTGTGGTAAAGAGGAGCCAGTGTCTCCTAGAGTGAAGAAAACGATAAAAGAAGAGTTGTAAATTATTGCAAGTATGCACGTAAGATGATGTTAGATATATACAGGCGCTTTGCTTCAATGGAAAAAAAAAATTGTCACAAACAATAGAAAAAGTAGATGAAACAGCTTGCAACAAGTTTAGTTTCTATATGTATTCGGTTTTGTTTGAGGTTTTTTATTCTAACAGAAATTCCACCTTACCTGTTGTATCCGGGTCCTCTTCAGATTCTGGACACAGGATCGCAGATTTACTGAGAAATGAAACAACAAGATGTAAGTACTGAAAAAAATGCAGGAAAAAAAATGACAGTATTTATGAAAGTTCACGTTTTTGTGCCAACGTCTACATGTATGTGAAAGCAGTCGTACAGGCAGAAGAGAAAGGTTCATAGAGGATTTCGACCTACCAGAGAGTAACTTCATTTTGTCCTTGTAGCAGAAGAGAAGCAGAATGAGGGGACACAGAATGATAATGATTGACAGGACTGAAACCATCACCCAGAAGGACATAGGAATGACCGGGTCACCTGTAAGACAGACAATTATTGAGCTTGCTTTTAGTCTACTGTTTTTTCCCTCTCCACATTTAGTGTGACATTTAAGCCTCCAATTAACAGAAACGATTTTGTCACATGGAGAAATATGACATTGTATATGTCCGTGTCTTTCCAAACTCACGTGGTCCACACCCTGCATCGGCTTCAGCACTGCCTTGCTTGATCTCCTTGCTGCCATCAGCCTTGCAACTGAGAAAGAGGAAGAAGAAGAGGAATATTTAGACAATGAGAATGTAGTTCGTTTTTTTTTAGTTCTCCCTTCTACTCCACATTTTCCTACCAACGTGCTCAACTCGCAGTTCTGCAAAGATAACACCAGAAAGGCAGATGGATAGAGAGGAAAACAAAATTCTTTCTCTCTCCACCGTCATCATCATCGCCGATGATCTGTCAGGTCTGGCTGGCAGTGGAAGCTGATGTCTGCTCCAGCCAGGGTTCCAGAGGAAGTGGTGAATATATTACTCATAACCACTGCTGGCTGCCGGTAGGGACGGCTGCCCAACTGCATTTTCCCTTCACAATATGTCAAAAGATTCCAGGCTAAAAACACGTGTGTGCACGTGTGTGTAAGCGCTTACTTTGTCCACGGTTTGCACGGTTCGTCATCGTCCTTATCAGAGAAGAATCCTTTTGGACACGGCTCACACACCTTCCTCTGATCTATAATTAACAACACAAATCGTAATCTCGGATTTACAACTCGTTTGTAGGGACTTGTTATAAATGGGGGATGTTCTGCGTTGTGGACTTTCTCACCATGCTTTGTCTCAAGTCCCTGTCCGGGTCGGCAGGTGGGTATCTTCTCACAGAACTCACAGTTGATGGGGTAACACTGGAAGCCTTCAACACAGCGACATGGCTCCTCTTCTATCGAGTTTTCATTATTTCTCATAAAACCCAATCCTGTAGATTTAAAAGAAAAAGACAAAGGTACAAATGAAGTGAATGATTAAGTGTGTTAAATGCAAATTCCCACTCCACAGCTCAATACAAAGGAAAAATAATTCCATGATCTGAGCATTCTTGGCTACCACAACCCCGTTTGTATGAATATGGAGGTGTTGTGTAAAGAGTAAACAAAAAACTGAAGTGAAAATCATTTATTTGATTGAAAATAGCACACAAATAATGTATAAAAGTATGGAAAAGGTGGAAAATGTATTTATTGTGTTTCAAAAAACATTCGGAGAGGAGGGCAAGGAGATGTCTGTACACAAGCTTGTAAAAAAACAAAAAACAAAGGAGTCAGTGGATGGGCTCAGAAGCACTTCCAAACAGCACTGTCAGGAGACACAGGAGAGGGTGATATCTACAAAGGCCATATTAAAGTTCAATGATAAAAGTTTTCGCCCTTTTTGGAGGAAGGCCTTCATTATTTCAGCAGGACAATACCAAACGACATGGGGGGAAAAATCTGACCTACTGAAAATATCTGACCCATTATTAAACGAGGCAAACAAAGACCTTAACTGCTGAACAGCTTAAAACCTTATTGAGAATGAATTTAGCAAAAACGTTCAGATTTTTTTCACCAATATGCTCCCCGAGTCCCCAAAGACATATGGGGAGTTTTAAAAAGATGAGGCGATCCAACGTGGCAGTAAACCGTCTCAATCTCAACTTTTTAGAAATGGGACGGTGGCAAATGGTCTGCACTTCGTTAATGTTTACACAGCTTCATGATTTTTTTGGGAAAGGGGTTGCAAAAGAGAAACTAAAACATTAAAAACATGAGTATAAAATTAAATACTGTTGACTGGAGAGTATTCTTTTATGGTGTAGCTGTGGCTGTAGAGTATGTTTGGAAAGGTTGTTTGATCTTTGTCATTCAAGTAACCAGAGATTGCCAAATTAATAAGCAAAACGTTTTATAATTAATTAATTAACTTTTTAGAATTGAAATGAATGGTATTTGTCACAAGTAAGAAGTGAAAAATGGATTTAAATGTATGGAATTGATAAATAAATGAAGGTACTCACCCTGATCACAAAACTTCTGCTTAAGACAGCGATAGGCATTGTTCAAGCTGGGTTGATATTCTCCGTAACTGCATTTACGACATATAGTCTGAGCGGTATCAGTGCAGTCTTTAAACACATAATAGCCTAGTGGCAAAAAGAAGAGACAGTGGGTGTTAGGCAGAGGATTTAAGAACTCAGCATACATAATTACAATAACACAGAAAAGCCTAATTAAATAGAAGAAAACAAAAGAGAGACTGATAAAACTGGAGCTCCCTTCTTCTTTTTAAGCAGTTGATATATTTAGCAGTTTAAGTGTGTGTGTGTGTGTATCACGCATTTGTGGAAACACACGCACATGTCTGTGCCACTTTAAGCCAAAAAGATCTGCTTTTAAACATCCTTCCTCTTTTAGTTTAGAATATTTGTGAATGGAAAGCTATTTTTACTTTATGCTGACTCCACAGAGGAAACCAGATATGCATCCACTATCTGCGCGTGTGTGTGTGT